CAGTACATACAATGCGATTAAACATCACATGATATTCAAGCTCACATATCACTAGAGATACAACACAAATGAGGCAAATGTACGATTGATTATGTATTTATTAAATCCATTTTACTCTGAAATAGGCCTTTATTGATCTTGCCCAGAAGTGATAACACTCAAAGACGCCTGACTTTACCTCAAAGCGAACATCTTCAGTGCAGCAAATGGTTTGGCATGGGCAACAGGGCCCTCGAATGTCAAACACTGGCTTATGGTTGGCGTCCAATAACTGGTAGAAGGGTTTCCAACATGTTTGGCTAGATAGAGTATTAAAGCATATACATTTTTAAAAGTATTTGTTATAAAACAGCCTCAGTCAAAAGTTCATATAAAATAATCATAACATGTTATACTGTTACATAAAAGCATTGCTGCAATATGCTAGCAAACTACTGGTACTGATGTACTGTACTGTAATACCTGGTGAAGCATCGAAGTGTCTAATATTCTCACATTAAGAAGGGGAAAATAACGTCTAATCCGTGTGTCGTGTTAAATGTAGGCGTAAATTATCATAACTTATAGCCTACTACTATATAGGCGCGTTATGGTGTACACTACTAACACATAGCCTATTAACGAAAACGCTAAGAACCGTAACGCAACATAGAATGCTCGAGCAAATCATGTACAGGTAATTACAATGCATGCGCACAAGCCCCACTGATAGGTAGTCTACTAACTACAGAATTTTATACTGTATACTATTTTTCAGAAAAGTGACAGATAACTTACGACTGACGCATGTATCCGACTGGTGTACCAGGTGGAGACTCAATAACAACCTCATAGGCACAGCATTTAGTATCGGCGCACCAGCAACATCCAGCACAACATTTAAATTCCCGACTAACGCGAATAACCTCCTGTAAAGGTGAAAGTTTATTCAAGGATTATATTTAACTACAATTATAGGCCTACACTATACAACTTGTTTACGTATTACGGACACCATTCCAAGATGAATGCATTGTTCACATATCCTAGGGCTACAGAGTATACACAATTGAATCTGCATACCTGGCCAAAGTTGTCGGTGAGGTGCAAAATAAATCCACGATGCTCTTGACAGCAATTTCGCATTAGACAACTAGATTCTATATAACAAAAAAAAAGAAAAAAAAAAGAAGAAGATAGGATGTATTTCAAATTTTATCGTTACCGGTATATCTTTAATAAAATGTTAAGTCTCAATGATCCTTTCGCTAAGCCACGCCACTTTGATACTGTTGCTAAGGTGTGGAACCTAAACCGCATGGTCAACGTGTGTACGCCTGCATCTTTGCTAGACATGCTCGTATTCAATTTTCAATTCAATTCAATTCAATTCAATGGATATCACTTTCGTAACAGTGGCAAACGTTGGACAATACCCAACGGTGCATCCAAATATAAGAGGAAAATAACAAACTTAAACTAAATTAAACTAAAATGTATATACAAAGTAAAATTTATCAACATGGCCGTATTATTTACAGAGTTGCTGTATGAATTGTTAATATGGAGCTAGAACCAACAGACCCAATTCATGTGTTCATATTTACTACAGTAACACATTCAAAGGGAATAAAAACACTAACTAATGAAACAAAAACATTACAAGGTACTTAAAACAAATATAGAGCTTAGAACTAACTGATCATAAAGGTTCATATTAACAGATTAAAAGGAAATACAAAAACTAAATTATTCATGGCTATTCAACAACACGATCTGATTGGCCAGCTGTTGTGTGGTTACCAGTCTGTTGACGGTTCATTATAACAGGTCAGTAGACCTAATTGACTCTACTGTTAACTAAACAAAAACGACAATAACCATATTTTCGATCGATTTACCTTCCATTGCAAAGAAAACTTGTTGGCCAAGGGAATTTTTTATAGCGTAGCGATTCTTGGTCTCGAATCCGGTTAGCACTGTGAAATAAATATTAAGCTTTGTCTACACTATCAAATTTCATCAAAAAAGCGTCATATAAAATGTGATGGAACATATTGAACATGTTCAACTTGTTTTGATACAATTTGATAGTATGTGATATAACGTCATCGTACCCATATATGGGCACATAAATTTTTATCACATAAAATTTGATAGTGGTAGACAAAGCATTAGAAAAACACACAATGAAAAAGATGAAACTATCTAGAAAATGTCTATACACATGATATTTTGTTAAATTCGACAAGAAATATTTTCAGAAAAGGAGAAAATTATGCCTATATTCAAATTTAAGTCTTAGAGTGCCATCCGGCCGATCTTGAGGTGTCATATTCATAAATGTTCTTACCTCAGCCCCAGCAATGATGTGGCTGATCTAGGCCCTCCATTTGTGAAAGTAATCATTTGTTTTGTGTAAGACAGTATAAATAGTATAGCATTTCATATTTCATACACTAAATAATTTACTAAATCGTACATCTTAACTCATAAAGTGGACCCCCATCATGGCATGATCCATTGTCTGGTTATAGACACGATGTCTACCAAGTATACTAGCTACAGTATCTCTCCCATCTGGAATGATGATTACAGTAGTTAGGTTTTAAGTTACACCAACTCCCTGGTTACACATAACAGTAACTTTAAAATGGTCACCATAATGGCTGTTTGCTGTTAATGATTTTGTAAGATTAATTAAGTATTTGTTACAAATATGTGCAATAAATTCATTTTTCATTTTAATTTTAAAATGTGGTGTAAGGCTAATTATTTGCTGTTTGTAAGCATAAAAATGTGAGCATGTTAATTGATAATGTAACACATGCATCTGGTATACATTTCCAAACAGATATTCTATAGAATTCCTATACAACTTCTAAATCAAAAGTTATAGATGTCTATAGAATTTTCTATAGAATTTCTATACAGCTTCTAAAGAGAATGTTACAGATTTCTATAAAAATTTCTTCATGAATCATAATTATTTACAGCAAAATGATACACATTATTGCAAAACTCTATGCATTATTTAGTTATTCAACATCAGATCATGAGCCAAATGCAATATTTGGTTTAATTATTATTTATTAATCTTGTTTAATTTTCAACACCAAGCTGCTGCAATAATACATTGATTGCCGACTGTAGGGTTGAGTCACCAATACATAACAAACTAATTTTCTATAGAGTGAAATACAACATTCCATAGAAAAAAATATTAGAATTCTATAGAATGCGTAAACTCTATAAAAATTTTTTGGTTCTATAGAATTCTATAGAGCTCTGCTGTAGGTAGGTGCGCATATCTGCACAATGAGTGTAGATTATTTGATTATGTTTGTTGCGTGTATTTTGTGTTCATTTTTCATATGTTTTTCTTAAGGGTACAAATGTAAAAGCATAATGCTTGTTTATGTATAACTTTACTTTTATTAGGGCTATTGCTTCGGTATTAATTACAATTTTTTTTACTGATTGCGACACCATAAATAAATAGAATTGAATGTATACATCTCTCTACAGCATAAGCTTAATGACACTAGTTACAGTAGATATACAACAGTTTAGATTTGAAATAGACCAACTCCCGTTTATTTGATATACTTAGGCTATCCTTTAGGCCTAATCTACAACCGGGAAATAGTTCATATTTTACTATTAGCCCACTTAAAGAAATACAACTATGTCGGCAAATTGAGTATTGCGTATGTTAAATGTAGCGGACCTCCACATTTCGTGGACCCCACACATTTTTCGCGGACCCCCTGCAGAACTTTTGACTTGGCGGAACCCAATTATTTTTCGCGGATCCCAGGTAGGAAACCACTAATATAGAGAACATAAACATCAAATTATATCTAGATGACGGTTATCCTGATATGATAAAATGATAATCCGTACTGTTGCTGTGGTAATTATAAAATAAAAATGAGTGAATAGACATTCGTATATACAGCTACATTCTTTGCACATTATAACAACGTAAAATTGCATTTCCTGTTTAAACAATGCCTCCTTTTCCAAGTAGGCCTAACCCACCTTCGGCTAACTCAATAACTTGATGCACAAGAACCTGGTCCAATTGTGTGAGGTATTCCAGGCCAGGGGGACACCCTGGTAATCCCTGGGGTTTGGCCATCCACTCGGCGTTCTTGAGACCTGGAGCTGGCGGACCACCAGGCTGTGCTACAATCTAAAATTAAAGATGTTAATAGATTGATTATAGTTTCTGTGGGTTCTTATTTTGTAAACATCTTTGGTACATGGACATCTAGCGAGGTAAAGGAGAAACGTGTCATTTCTATATTGTAATAGAAATTCCCCTACCAATTACCATAATAACAAACGATATTTATATGAGAGTAGTAAAATAATGAAAAAATCCCAAATTAATGACCACTGGGAATCAGGGTGAACCAAACCAATTTAGCCTCTGACCACCCCTACGAAAACTCTTCCATTCCTTTGTCACTATTTTTAAGTACTAGCCTATCAGTCGCTGATTAAGAAACATGCAGATTTAAAGATTGAATTTAACAAATTGCTATTGTAATTAGTAATATGAAATAATAATTAATAATCATGATTTGATCCCTTATGCATCGCAATGCGGCTTAAAATAATCAATATTATTATCAGCAGGGGAGAATAGGCGGTCTGGCCGAATATTGATGTTGACTAATTAAACTATGACATGCTGGCATCGGCGGCTGGTCTCATGCAGTGTTGCGATTACATATGTGTCATCTATGCGATAGGATGTTTACAGAGCATAGCAACATGATCGCATAAAAGACGTCATTATTGTTAGTTTTAGTAAGGCCCATATTTGACCAAAATACACATAAAATATAGGCTTAAAGGTTAGGACCAGCTTAAGTAATATTCATTATATAAAGCCAGCTGCATTTAATGCACAGTTATATGCTAATCAATTATAAAACACAGACTACAGTACATAGGAACAGATATACATACCGGAGCGGACATTTTATGTCAAGAATAATTGTAGGCCTGTTTGCAGAACGAAAAATAGTCCACAGAGCTGATGAATATCTTTAGCTGCAACGATCAATAAATATATTGTGTTAATGAATAATCGAAATATAACAATTAAATGGTCGCATAAAGCATAGCGGTAATAATTATCATAACAATAATGTATAGACAACCTATGATAGAAAATAATAACACAGTAATAACACAATATTGTAATTAAAAATAATAAGGATAATGATGATGATAATAATAATAGGCCTCATTATTATTATTATTAATATTATTATTATTATTATTATTATTATTATAACAATGATAATAATTGATGTTAACTAACATAATAATAATTGTCATATAAATAATGATAATAATAACAACAATAAATAATAATAATATAATAAATTAATAATAATAATGATAATTATAATAACACTAACAATAACAATAAAACCAACACCAACAACACATTAGAACAGCAACGAAAATACTACTAGGCCTAACATATAGGCCTATACAATAGGCAGAAGAATTTTCAATAACCAGAAGGATAAAATATACATTGACTATATCATGCGTGTTCGTGAACGTGAATATTCACAAGTAGACCAGGCTATAATTGAGATAGGTGCCACTTGGAGAGGTAGAAATTCTCATATGGTTTTTCTAGACCAGTTTTTTATGGGGAATCAGAATATGTGAGGTAAAAGGGGTGTAACCTGAGAACTTTCGCGTGAGGGCGCTTTTTCAAAATGGCCGCCAAATTACAATAAACTATATATATGGGTAAAATAAGCACAGAAGAAACCAACTTTTGAATATGTAATGATAGGAGTAAAGTATAACCATAGAGAAAATAGAACTGTTCTATTTTCTCTATGGTATAACTAGCTAAAGTTATTAATGTGAAGATTTCGGGAGGCAATGGAGGGCGCTTTTTAAAATGGCCGCCAAAATTAAATAACAATTTAACAGCAGCTTCAATACCCTAGATAAATTGTTTAATTTAAAAAAAACATGAATGTAATAACTGCTGTTGACTTTTTAACCCTAAAACAACATATTTTAGGGGTGTAAGCTAACTCACTTTTGAAAATGTAAGTAAAAATGCCCCCTTAGCTCTTTTCTGTTTCAAAGAATGGAAAATATCCCCAGAATGCTAAAATAATTTCAGCTTCTTTACAAATATCCGGTTGTTTTTCATTATTTCTGTGTGCTATACAAGGTATTCCAGACAACTACCACAATTTTC